CTGTTAATAAGAGAGAAATGACTTATGCTTAATGTTGGTGTAGTTCTTCATCATCACTCCTCATTCTTTTCTAGTATGGTCATGTCCAGTTATCAAATTTCTAGTTCGATTCCCTCTTTTTAATGTTAACTAGTGGCTTTCATGTCAGTATAACAATAAATCCAACCTGTGTTTTAGCCCCAAATGTAAAGGACTTCAGATCAAAACTCAGAGCAGACTCATCTATGTGGCTAACATACAAACCATCTGTTGGAAATAGCAACCTTCTTCAAACCTCCACTAGTAATTTGTTTACCGTATTTACTGGCGTATAAGACTACTTTTTAACCCAAGAAAATCTTCTCAAAAGTCAGGGGTCGTCTTATACAATGGGAGTAGACTTATGTGCTGGGAGTAGTCATATGCTAGGAGTAGTCTTATACGCTGGGCGTCATCTTATATGCTGGGAGTAGTCTTATAGAGCGGGTGCTGAAACTTCCAATCCGGATTGGAGAATCTGTGGTTGCCACATATGGTGGGGGAGCTCAAAAATGTCAGTGGTCATGTCCCTGCCGTATGCAGCGGCTGTATGAAAGCGACTGTGTGGGCTGGTCCATGAGATCACGAAGAGTCGGAAACGACTGAACAATGAACAACAACAACATTTCCTACTGTCTTTTGGGCTGAAAAGGTCGACAAGCTACACAAAGGTCAGAAGCTCACTCCGACACAGGCTGGCTTCAAACTCATGACCTTTCAGTCAGTAGTGATCTTAATGCAGCTGACTCCCAGCAAGCTGCGCCACAGTCCCTTATAGACCTTACTTTAGAGTTAACTTGAATATAGTAACTGTTGAGAATTGCCACTGCGATAACCTTATTATGAGGGACATGAGAGAAGCCTCCCCACAGGATTGCAACACATCCGGGTGTCCCCTTGGCAATGTCTTTGTAGATGGCTAATTCTCTCACACCAGAAGCGACCAGAAACAAAACAAACAAAACTGTACTCTCGGTTTGCTTCTGATATGATAAATACCATATATACTCGAGTATAAGCCGAGTACAAGCCGAACCACCTGATTTTACCACAAAAAAATGGGAAAACTTATTGACTCGAGTATAATGAGGTGGGAAATGCAGCAGCCTGGTAAATTTCAAAATAAAAATAGATACCAATAAAATTACCTTAATTGAGGCATCAGTAGGTTGACTGTTTATTAATCTATATAAATAAAAATGTAATGTTCGTTTGTGGGATTAACAGAACTCAAAAACCAGTGGGCGAATTGACACCAAATTTGGACGGCATACACCTAACAACCCAATGTATGTCCTTCATTCATAAAATACTGAAAAACACAGCAGAAGGGACTTAAAAGCCCCAAAAAGCTAAATGACGAAAAGCTAAATGACAATACAAAAAAAGGGAATAAAGAGGGAGGGAGGGAAAAGAAAAAAGAAAGAAAGAAAGAAAGAAAGAAGGAAGGAAGGGAGGGAGGGAAGGAAAGAAGGAAAGGGAGAAGGAAGCATGGAAGCAAAGAGAAGGAAGGAAGGAAAGAGGTAGAGAAGGAAGAAAGGAGAGAAAGAGGAGGGAAAGAAAAAGGGAAGGAAGGAAAGTTAGAGAAGGAAGGAAGGAGAGAAGGAAAGAAAAAAGGGAAAGAAGGAAGGAAAGAGGGAGCGAAGGAAGGGGGAAGATGTAGAGAAAGAGGGAGGGAAGGAAAGGAGGAAAGAGAGAAGGAAGAAAAGAGAGACGGCAGAAGAGAAAGAGAAGAAGGAGAAGAAGAGAAGAGAGGAAGGAAAGGAAAAGGAAAGAAGGAAAAAGGAAGGAAGGAAGGAAGGAAGGAAGGAAGGAAGGAAGGAAGGAAGGAAGGAAGAGGGAATGAAGGAAGGAGGGAAAGGAGAGAAAGAGGGAAGGTTGGCCACGGCAACGCGTGGCAGGTACAACTAGTATTTACATAAAACTAAGATAAGACTTTCCAACTCTGACTAAACCATTATTTTAACCTTCTTCAATGTACATGTGTTTACATATCCTTCCAATGGGTTGTTGTAGGTTTTTCCGGGCTATATGGTCATGTTCTGGAGGCAATTTTTCTCCTGACGTTTCGCCTGCATCTATGGCAAGCATCCTCAGAGGTAGTGAGGTCTGTTGGAAGTAGGAAAAATGGGTTTATATATCTGTGGAATGACCAGGGTGAGACAAAGGACTTTTGTCTGCTGGGGCTAGGTGTGAATGTTTCAGCTGATCACCTTGATTAGCATTCAATGGCTTGGAAGTGCCTGGGGGGAATCTTTTGTTGAGAGTGATTTTATGTGCCTGTTTGTTTCCCCTCTGTTGTTTTTCTGTTGTAATTTTTGAGTTTTTTAATACTGGTAGCCAGATTTTGTTCTTCCTTTCTGTTGAAATAGCCCGGAAAAACCTACAACAGCCCAGTGATTCCGGCCATGAAAGCCTTCGATAATATCCTTCCAATAATAATAGAGTAAAATAATAAATGTAATAATAATAAAAATAATAAAGCTAACCTATAAATGTAATAATAATAATAATAATAATAATAATAATAATAATAATAATAATAGAGTAAAATAATAAATAACCTTGACTCGAGTATAAGCTGAGGGGAGCTTTTTCAGCCTAAAAAAAGGGCTGAAAAACTCGAGTATATACAGTAAATACCTTATTATAATGTTCTTACATGCATCCATAGGACATTTACAATTAAATAAATTTCTTCAAGGGATCCAATCAGTTTCCCTCTGACTTTTCCCAAATGCAACCACTGATTCATTTCACCTTGCAAATCTTTTGTCTAAAAAGGCATGTAGTGAATGTGCTATTCTCTGGCTGTGTCCAAATCCAGTTATTTTCCTAGTTTCATGTCTCAAGCAAAGACATCACTTACAGCATAGCATCCAACTCCTGTGGTGCTCCCTTTCATGTCAGCATTGATGATCGATAATTCTCATTTTTGCCCTGTATTGACTCCACTTGAATGGAGATCCAAACTGCTCTTTAATCTGCCACTTTCCCTAAGTGAGTGGATATATTGAACTTGGTACTTCAAAAGGCATCCAGAGTGTGAATAATCTTCTTCTGCCCTGACCTGGAAACCCTTTGGCATCCTGACTCATAAATCCTAAGTACCTGTGAAACTTTAAACTCTTGGATTTAGCACCCTAAGTTACCATCCAGGGCTTTTCCTTCTGGACCTTGAAATTGAACCTAGCCTCTCCTATATTATCAAAGCTCCAATTCAAATATCCGCTTTTCTAGTTGAAGAGCTTAGGCAGCTTTTGTGACAGCTGTACCTATCTATGTAACATCTGCTTTGACAAAAAGAGAGACCTCCATCCGGTGTGTCACCACAGCAGGAAAAATGCTTGTTTCCCATCTATATGGCTCTCTAGGGGCCCAAAGGTCAGAAGGCTAGACTGAGATTTATGATCTTTCCCCTAGTAAAATACTTCCCCAGATGAGTGTTTCATCCTATTCTCTCTTTCCCACTTTGGCCTCAGGTGAACAGCGGGATCTGAAACAAGGGGAGATGGGTGGGATTGATACAGAAGGGCCTCCTTTTTCGTTGTTCTTCTTTCATGAATATGTTCAGCTGAAGCTTTGGCAGGTGGTTCTGTTCTCCTTGGCAGGTAATGAGCTCCTTATATATTGCCTTGGCCACTTGCACAGCAGGAACATTTCCTTTGTTCATAGGAGGAACAGGTTGAGCCAGAGGAAATCCTTCTTCTTCGGAAACCTGTCCAGTAGTCACATTTATTTAAACTTAGCTCTGACCTTAACGGAGGTTCACTTTCTTTTTATTTTTGCTTGCCTTTCCCTCTTTGTAAATCCAAGGCATGTGACAGCAACTGAGAAGAGACCGAAATCACAACATATTTTACAGGTAGCGGTCTGCGGATTCCAGATTCTCGCTAAGTTCTCATCCAAGAAAAGAACTATTTTTATATCTGCAGCATTATTTTGTTCTGCATTATTTAGCCTGCTTCTGTTAGACATGGAAATGTACAAGGAGCTCTTTAGGCATCAAATATTCCTGACCACTAGATTAGATACAGTAATGTAAATGTATCCTTACCTCCTGGAAAGTCCCCTTTATTTCGAGCTTTTATAACCCGGTCTTCTCGACCTCCGAAGAGGGACTCAGGCCGGCTAAAAGCAGAGGGTTAAAATACAATAATATAAACCACAGTAAACATCATAATACAATAGTACAAAAATACATTAAAATACAATTATACAATTATTTTTGGACTTCAACTCCCAGAATTCCTAACAGCCTCAGACCCTTTCCTTTTCCCCCTAAGCTGCTTCCCACCCTGGACATTACTCCATAGATATATAAACCTCATTTGCCTAGTTTCCAACAGACTTCACAACCTCCGAGGATGCCTTCCATAGATGTGGTTGAAAGGTCAGGAGAGAATGCTTCTGCAACATGGCCAGACAGGCCGGAAAACTCACAGCAAACCAGTGATTCCGGCCATGAAAGCCTTTGACAACAATTGCTCAAGGAGGAAAAAGTTTTCACAAATCCGCTGTGCTCACGGCCTGTTCTTTTCTCAATCATGGTAGCGTCTTAAATTTGCTTCTAATTATATTATTAAGTTCCACCATGTCTCCTGCACTGTGCTAATAATATTATATATTGCATATACATATAATATTGATATTATAATGTAATACAATACAATACTACTAATAATAAGATATTATAATTATACATTTTATATTACAGCTAATTTAATACTAATATTGTGCCATGGTAAGAATATAATATTTACATATTACTTGTGAGAAGGGCAGCATATACATGTTGCAAATAAATAAATAAATTACACCTTTTAACTTTTGAACGAGATGAGCCTTAAAACAGTAAATGACTTTGTAAACAGCCCTGAATCTTGGAATGGGAAGAAGGTGGAAAACAGGAGAAATACAATAGTAATGCTTCTAATAATCAACACATCCGATGGAAAAGGTATAGCAGACTTCAAAGGCAATTCTACCATTTTAAGAGCTCATTTCCAGGACAATCGGAACCAGAGTTGGGATACTTCTGCACCGTACCTTGTACTGGTCATTGGGGCCCAGCTTGTTCCAAGGCTCAGGGTTATTCTTTCTGTCCCAGCAGACGTCGGGGTTTTGGAGAGCGAGGCGCATGATGTAGAGGGCAGCCCCAGTCCCTCCAGTGCCAATGAAGATGAAGAGAGGAATCAAGCTGGGATGCTTCCTAGCCTGGTTGGCCATGAGGCAGAACATGATGGCGACACACGACACTCTGGTTAGGAGTGAGGCTTATATGACATTGTGCTGGTACGACTGTACCAGGAGCTCCAACTTTATTTCTTTCTGTTAAAGTTTGCAGTTATAGGGCAGGCCTCCTGTCCATCTTAATTAAGCTTTGGTTCTGCCCCTTGTTCAGGCTTCTGGGAGGGAAAGGAGCCATTTTGGGCAGTCTCACACAAGGTAGCTAAGCTATAGGACGTAGACCAGCTCGTCCCGTAGAAAAGCTTCCTTTCTTAAGACTATCCAGGAAAACTGAAGTCCAGGGAAACTGAAGTCCAGGGAAACTGGAATCCAGGGAAAAAGGGAACATCCAGGGAAAAGGGAATCATCCAGGGAAACTGAAATCCAGGGAAAAAGGGACCATCCAGGGAAAAAGGAATCATCCAGGGAAACCGATCATCCAGGGAAACTGAGCATCCAGGGAAAAAGGAACATCCGGGGAAACTGAAATTTACTGAACTCAGCTGAAATATCTTCAAGCCTCAGCCGGTAAGGTCTGCTCGATACCCAGACGCACTTGGGTTCGGTAGTAGCACCCACACCGATGAGGCATAGATAGAAAGCAGCCTGGGAAAGGTTAAAAAGTGTTTTTCCTACAGAGAAGGTTCAGTTGTTCTAAGTCAGGTGCCAGTCCATTGAAGACTAGACCAAGAAAGCCTTAAAGTGTTATTTGAACCATTGAAGATTTGTTGTTTGTTCCACAATAAAGACTTTGTTGTATCATTAAAGACTCTAAAGAACATCACTTCAGAAAAATCCCTGAGAACCTCTCTTTGAGGCCCCCTGGCTTCCCGCTGGGCTTAAAGTATACGTCCTATAGAAAAGTACAGCTGTTACAGGCCCAGCGCGTGACAGAACAGACATTCCAGATGATGCTGGATGGATCTCTATCATCTCTCATCATTGACTATGCCAGCTAAAGCTGGCGGAAGTTCCAATTCAGCACTAACAGGTTTTTCTTTAGATTAAAGGTTATTTTTATATTTCTGTTTTTGTGCAGAACACAAATAACACCAGTACCGACAATAACTGCAGCTAACAATTCTGTTAAGTACATTCATAGCTCGCAACCTCTGAGGATGCTTGCCGTAGATGCAGGCAAAACGTCAGGAGAGAGTGCTTCTAGAACATGGCCATATAGCCCGAAAAACCTACAACAACCCATTCATAGCTTTGTATTACCTTATCTGTCCACTTAGAAAGCCAGCATAGTATAGTGGCTTGAACAATGGACTACTACTCTGAAGACCAGGATTTGGCCTGGGTCTAATGGGGTCCCAAATTTTTCACTTTTACCTGAGGTGTTATTTGAACACCTCTGGTAAAATCCCGACAGGTCCCATATTTTGGGGTGTGTCTGGAAGCACCCATAGAGGCTTACCAATATATGTTAAACCTATACATTTCAAATGAGGAAGGATATAACTGAATGCTCCTCTTTAAGACTTTCAATATGATAGTTTTCTATGCTTAGTTTTCTTGATATTCATTGGGGTTTGATTCCAGGACTTCCCTCAGTGTATAACAAAATCCATGAATTCTCAAGTCCAATTGTATACAATGGCATAATAAAATGGTTTTCCATATTATAAAATAAAATCTAGGTTCACTTTTGTTTAAGTTGAATCTGTGGTTGCAGAATCCATGGATATAGAGGGCGAAAGGCATTTGTTTATCTTTTGTATACACTCCTTCTCTGCACTCTGAAATGAGTGACTTGGGAAATAGTTTTATTGCCTCAGTAATAACTAGACCACTGAAATCGAGAACTTAGGGGTCTTTGCCAGGAGGCAGAGACCAATTATATGATTGTATTTGTTTTTAATGTCTTAGTGTAATCTGAAATATTATGTTTTTAGTGATTGTTGTAATATTGATGTTGGAAACCGGCCTGAGTTCCTCGATGGAGGTGAGAAGACCGGTATACAAAACTGCTAAATAAATAAAATAAAATAAAATAGACTCATCAAAGAGTTCTTTTTCCCTGGTGAGACAAAGAAGAATATTTTTCCCTGATTTTCCCAATGAAAGGTCTCACCAAGTCCCCTGGGCAACGTCCTTGCAGACAGCCAATTCTCTCACACCAGAAGTGACTTGCAGTTTCTCAAGTCGCTCCTGACACGACCAAAACAAAACAAAACCAAGTTGAAGAAAAGCCATCGAGGTTTATTAGCAATTCAGCTGAAAAGGATGCAGAGCAGCAATCATTCGCCAAGCAGAGCATAACAAAATACAAAATAAATGCCATTTTTATAGAAATACAGAGTTATGTGGTTCAAACTTTCCGCTCCCACCCTCCAGCCGGTCTTCAAGAAGATTGGTTGACACATTAACAGCTGAGGAGGAGGCTCACCCACCTCCCGGCATCTGGGCCAATCAGAGAGCAGCTGTGGAGCGCCAGAACCAATAGGAAGGCTCCTACTGCTTCTGTGCCTCAACAAATCAGGAGGGAGGGAGGCGGGCTGAAGGGGAACAATGTGCTTCTTGATTGAATTATAGAAAAAATGTCCTGAGGCTTAGCAAAATCCGGGCGAGGGGATCTGCAAGCCAAGCCAGCCTATTGTGTTCTTGAGTGAAGGCTATTGCTATGTTTATGTGAAAAAGAAATCCGGATCTTTCCTGGCTGTGAGACAGGAAAACAATGAAGACAGCTAGGGGTGAATGCTATCAATGGAAGGCAAACAAAAACAGAGGGGAAGATTTCCCCCTTATTTGAAGAGCTGACCACAACTTTGCCAAACGAACCTTATTCTAATGGGCCATCTCCGAAGTTAGAAATAAGAATTCTTTCCTATTATCCATGCAAGAGTGTCTTTGGCTGCGGGTTTCGGTGATCGCTAATGCCTTTTGTTTCTGAAGGCCAGGTGATCCCCTTACATATTTATTTAGGGGGAGAAAGGGGCAAAGGGTCGGGCTAGGGTCAGGAGCACATAGAAATATAGAAATCATATACAATTTATACACAGGGGAATCATATGCAGGCACCTTCCCATCTAGGTCCACAGGGAGGAATTAATAATAAAAAGGCAAACAATATCATAACACAATATGAATTCATAGGTTGTTTTGGGGTAAGTTCATGTGTAGAGAACTTGTCCTTGAAGAGAGTGAAGTCCCAGAGTGTGGCAGGAAATCAGAAAGTCACAAAAGGAGTCTATGGAGTTCCACTGGGCCAGCTCAGGGAGACCCACCACGTTGAGATCAACTCTGGTCCTTCATCCTTGGAAAACTGTAATTCTTTACAAGGGCTGGAGCCCAGGGACCAATCTGCCCCCTGAAAGCCTCATGGGGCCCTTGCTGTTGTTAGTGTCTTGGCAAATTGACCAAGACTTAACCCCTATTGTGCAGTCTGGTGCCCTTGCCCTTTGCAGAACTATAAGTTACTATCTCTTATCGGGGCGGGGGGCATGCTCGGCTTCACCACAGCCATTATCGAACATAATTAGAGAGCCCATATCTACATCATGTGGTATTTCAGTTCTGGGAAACATGTGGCCTACTGAATGTTACATATCCTATCATCATTTGTCATTAAATTTTCTGGGTGGCTGTTGGGAGTTACAGTCAGGGGCGGCTCATCCATTACGCGAAGTAAGCGGTCGCAGAACACTTTTTTTGCCAGGGGCGCAGAGGCGCCTCTGTAAATGCCCCTCAACCACCACTTGAGGAGCGCCCCCTCAGCTCACAACAGCCCTAGCAGTCCGGGGGGAGCCTCGGCTTTCTTGCCTCGCTGCCGGGCGATCCTCTTCCCAAAGGGGCCGGGCCCTTGAGCCTCGCCTAGCCCCTCTCGTTCCTGCTCCACCCGGCCACCGGGTGCGAGCAGAGCCGGCGCTCAATCGTTCTCCGCGTTCGATCCCTTCCCCATGACTGGCTCCCTTTCCCGATCCCCCGGCGCTCCACCCGCCTCCTCTCCTTTCCCCAATCCGCGGGTGGGCCAAGGGGCGGAGCCGCCGCACCTGGCCCGCTTCAGGTCCGGAGGCGCGTCTGAAGACCCCAGCGTGCGCACCAAAAGTCGCCTCTTCTCCTGACTTTCTCTTCAGCCATTGGGACCAAGAGAGAGAGAGAGAGAGCCCCTCCGGCTGGAGGTATCTCCCACCTCTGCTCCCTCCTTTGTTTTTGCGCCTACCTTCAGGAAAGGTGGGCATCTCCACCTCTCTCTCTCGGTCCCAGTGGCTGAAGAGAAAGTCAGGAGAAGAGGTGACTTTTGGTGCACATGCTGGGGTCTTCAGGCACGCCTCCGGACCCAAAGCGGGCCAGGCAAGGGAGCTGGCAAGTGCGGCAAGTGTAGTTACTGGGATGTATAGTTCACCTACAATCAAAGCGCATTCTGAACTCCACCAATGATGGAATTGAACCAAATATGGCACACAGAACTCCCACGACAAAGAAAATATATATCAATTATTGGTTGGGGGGGGTGCCAAAATAATGTTTGCTTACTGTTGAAAATTACCTAGGGCCGCCTCTGGTTACAGTCCAAGAACTTCTGAAAGGCTACATGTTCCCCAGCCCTGTACTACCTGACAAAGCAAACTGATTTCTGTAAGTCATGAGGTTATACAGAGAGAGAGAGAGAGAGAGAGAGAGAGCATATCGTCTGGCAGGAAGTGGAAATACCATACATTTCTTGGCCATTTGTATTTGAGCCAAGTCTAAATGCCAGTCCTAAAAATACAGCCTGGAAGCTGCAGCATGCTAACAGCCTTTCCTCCTCCCGCCTCCCAACCACACACTCTGCTAGAGCCATGAGATTATTTTTGAATGAGGACACTTCTTGAAAGTAACCTAAGGCTACAGAAGTCATTTGCTTTTCTTTCATGAATCCTCCTCTGCCCCTCTCCTTCATTCAAGCTGCCCTGCCATTCAGAATGTGTATGCAAGAAAAGGAATGAACTGAATGTGCATGCAAGAGAAGGAATGAACATCCCTTGTCCTGCCTTATTATTTTATTTTACATTGGACACTTTGGTTTTCTTCTACTCAC